GCACGCAGCCGAAATTCTGATTCATTTTCACCTCGGATGAGCGAACTAATGAAAGTAGATATTGACGCGAAAATAACGCGTGCAAACTTTTAAACATAAAGAGAAAACGATTGACTAATTATCACCTCTGTTCTGTGTACGTTTCTCTTAAACATTAGTTTATCAGTTGTCAATCAGATATAATTTGGAAAAAGTTTTCCGAAAAAACACTATTATTTACATTTTAATAAGGGCTAATTGTATTTCGGAATTCGAGTTCATGTCACGTGAAATTTATTCGTAGAAGAATTAAACATTTATAGGGAATAAAGTATAAATTGAAGCTGGCAATTTAGGATTTAATAACGTTTTAACTAATTATAGTGAAGAGTGTATCTCTAATGGAACGCAATTCGGCTTGTAGATAAAATAAAATACACCTCCACGCCTGTAATTAAAATTAATTACACAGCAATTACTGTGATCAACTGTTCCGTTTCTACCGATTTCTCGTTTTTAGAAACACGAAAGCTTACCAATGTTTTGTGCTGAGATTATAAGCTTTGTTCGTTTTTCATCTACTTATTGAATCAAATGAATTTCTAGGCATCTACTATACATGCACACAGGAATATGATTTAATATCTTGAATTTAGGAGTGCCCATGAAGAATGTTGTAATCTCGAATAGTTTGCGTGCACAACTTCGTTAAATGAAAGGCTCAACGAGCTTAATTAAATTTTACCCACTGCTTTCCTCGAAGAACTGATCGGCCGAAGAATTTCAGACCCGTTGCCAAATAATTCTAAAACGATTTACGCCGAAAATGTAAAATTCCGATCTTCTACTTCGAATGCCAATTATTATACAGCGCATTGACAAACAATTTAGCAAATAAAGCAAATAAAGAAATAGTATTTTTACACTTCATTTCTCAGATTCTGTCCATATCTGTGAAACATAAATTAAGTTTCTGATTGGAAAACTTTTATTGATCCGTTCAGTTGTTCTAGTTTCATCATAAGTTTCATCGGTGTATAGATGAACTGCCAGTATAATTTTAAAACTTACGTTTCTGAATTAATGGTAAAAAACAAATATCCATTTAACTTTTTATAACGAAATTTCACGAGTTTGCGAAAATTGTTTTAGAGACAATTATTCAAATCTTGTAATGATGCTAAAAAGCAACATTAAAAGTGTTAATAGAGATTCTTTTTACTACATAAAAAGGAGAGATTCATTAGCTTGTAAAATAAACATAAAAACAGACTGGCAATGTTCTTTCGTTACCATGAACTTTAACGAGTTAAGTGCACCGAGAATTTGAGAATGGCCATTTTTGTTCCTTCCTTTGTAAAAGTGTCTTGTAAAATACAAGGTACTTCAGCAAACGGTGCAGTAATTCACGATGATTTTTTGCTATCAGTGTCGTCTCCTTAGTGAACGGTCCCTGATGATAGAAATAAGACAAGGCAGAGGAGGGAGAAACAACAAAGAATCCGAAGGGATGGAATAATAGAGGAAGAACTGTAGAAAACCGTTAAACACATAAATTTCAACGATACGCGAAATTGATCATTAAAGAAAATCATGCTTCATGAAAATTTCATGGGGGTTATTATTATTTCCATATTTTCTAGGATATTACTTTTAATACCTTTAAATAGGTGTGTAATGATCAATAACCCAAGAAAGCAAGTTCAGTCCTAATTATAATTTTACCAAGAGTTGTTAATTGTAACTAGACCGTGGATGCCCTTGTTAATTGTCAAAACACTGGAAACGTCATAATTTGCAAAGAATTGGTACAGTTCTAACTACAGGTCTGCGATATCCTTTATACTACTCATACGTTATGCTATAGTTAAAATGCTTTCTAGTTTTAAAGAGAATATTTAAGAGAATTAAGATACAAGTTGCAAGATTGTTGGAAACATGACTTCTCTTTCCATTAAAGACTTCAGTCCATATTTTCAAATTCTACAGAATACAACGTACAAATTAGAGATTGTCCATCGGTTTCATGGTTTTGTGACGAACAATACAGAAGGGGGAAAGAACAAGAATTGTATGAAGTACCGTTCGCCGACAGACGGTGTCGTCTGAAACGGTCGAAATTGTTTCGTCGCGGAACAGCGGCGAACGCGTTGCGGAGGACGGTGGCCAGCTGAGCGTATTCTTCCGGTTTCCGCGGGCAAGACACGCGACAAACTTGCCGGCCATCTCAGTAGCGCAGTGACGATCCTGTCTCCAGTCATGAATAATGCTCCGCATCCGGCGACTGTTCGAGACGCTCCGTGGACGCGTCCAAACACGCTGAAACGTCGCGCGGAACTTCGCTTTCCTCGTCCGGAAACGAAATTTCGTAGAGACGTTGCGAAATTTCGAATGGACTGCAATGTCGAGCCGCGGGTTTAACAATTGCGAGAATCGATTTTGACGAAGGAGCTGAGAAGGACGATGGTGGAAATCGATCTCGATGGACGAGAAATTAGGAAGTGTGAAAATTCAGTGGTTGGGAGGATATACACAATCGTCTGGAGAATTTTATAATAAGTCGATCTCTCGATGGATACTTATTGAATATGTGAAGTTTTTGTGTACAAAGGAAATGAATGTACAATGTTTCGTGGATCTTATGATGTGTTCTTCTTCACAAGTTTATGACATTTAATAATAATGAGTGTGATTATTGAACATGCGTTAATAATTGTTATTAAGAGATACGAAAGTTAAGAGATATGAAAAGCGGCTGGGAAGAAAAATGGTAAAGGGATATGTAAAGTTTGAACGCAGTATTCTTTCCAATTCAATTTTTACTAGACTCCTTTTATTAATTAGACAGTTGAATTATTTCCGAAGTTGAAATCAGTATTAAATTCGATTACGTTCATATCTCTCAATCCTCCGAGAAAACGGTATATTTCTTAACGAACTACTAGAACTACTGGAACATTCGAGGCGCGAATTCTCGCGAATGCGTTAAAGTATCCTCTAATTAACGTTTGCTAATTAATCCAGCTATTCGATGCGCACGCAACGATCCAGACTCTCGAAGAAATGGATAGTTAGTTGGTAGGTACTTAGGTAGAACTACAGAGTCTGTTACATTCTGACTTTGCTCATTGACTCATTCTACCCTGTACCTATTCAGATTTTATACATATTGTACTAAACACCTGGAAGTACAAAAAATATCATTAACATGCTTCACTTCATTTCACGTATTATCTATTTACGACAGATCTAATTTTTCAAAAGATTACGGTAGTAGGAAAACCGACGAAACCAAAAACTTGTCAACGATAACGTGAATAGAATATCACGAACTCGGACACAACAGAGTAGCCAGAAGCGAAATTGATACGTTCTCTCGTTCCTGCGGGAGTAATTTCCTATCGCCATCGACGCAGATACAAAAAAACTCGGGGTGTCTATTAATAAAATTTATTAGACGGCCGCGGATCGGTCCCGAAGGGCACAGTATCGATCTGGATCATCGAAACTTTTCCGTCATCCATTGAAAACCGCTTTATCAGCGGTGGACTGGTTTCGTCGCCCGGGAAAAAGTTACTTCCCTCGTTATGGTTCGTTCGGAGATACGCGAAACTCTTTTTCCTTTTTCCATTTCCCGCACGATTTCTTCATACCTTTTTTTTCTCTTCCCGGGTGTGCAATACATGAGATGTGTCCGTTAGTTAGAAATGTCGTTTTGCCTCGTTTCCTTCCCGTTTTCACGGTCCCGCGTGTCAACCGACCGATACGTATATTCCATTTCCCATTTTACTTTTCCCTCTGACAGGATGACGCGCGTAATCTCGTTCGCGAACAGCCTAATATGAAATAATGAAGATGTTCCGCGCAAATTACGGTTCTCGAAATCTGAATGCAGTTTGAGTATAATTGATCCTATACAATGTATATGAATTGACTAAATTTCGATCAAATCAATTTATTCCGCAAACAAATTCTGTGATCTACAAACAAGCTGTGTATCGTTTATAAACGGAATTGGGAACGAGAGACGGAAAAAGCATTCGTTTGATGAAAATACTGACGAAAGAAACGTGATTCCGCGCGAAGGCAATTGCATTCGCAAGCGGCTCATATACATATCTACATACACCACACACTACACACGAAGTGTTGCGAACTTGCAGGTACCGCATTTATCATTGATCGCGTAATTTATGCTTACGGGCTGGTTGTTTCGCGGAACTTTTCGCCGCTATCACTTACAACAGAGAACGAATTCATAGTCAGACTGTACCATAAAACGTTTATTTTCTTATCTTCATGATTATTCAACGCGTGGAGGAATTTCATTGCGGATGTGTAAAACTTCGTCGCTTGACGTCGACGATAATTACTGTTTATATCTGTTTGATGTGGTAGGTAATATCAAATGCTGTAAATGTTTAATTGAATTCGCAATGTTATTAATGAAGAGTATGAAATGGATATACATTATAGCAATGTATATTCATTAGTGAAAATAAAATAAGGAAATACATGTAACGTGGAAAGGGAATAGAATTAGTTGAGTTTCTCGAATATTTAAGCGTGTCTACACGATCGATGATCGCCATAGAAATTGTGAAAAACGTGAAAAATGATGCGCATCGCAGATCTGATCGCCATTATGGAAGAACGTGATTTTGACAGGGACACTATTGAAACGGACTCCCTCGAGTCTGAGGTAAAGTATTCTGGCACTCATTTTTAAAATGAAGACGAAGAACGTATGAAATATTCATCCTTAGTAAAAGAGAAAAATGGAAGATTATCAAATTATAGAATCATTCAGTTGAAGTATACACTACAGAATAAATCTGCTGAACAAATTGTTAGGATATACATGTATTGTATAATCTTTATTATTCATTTAGTTAATAAAAATTTTGACAAACTTCAAATGTGTAAAAATCAATGGTGATGGAATAATTCTTTTTATTGTTTGCAAGTCGGTTTTCGTTCAGTTCCATTTGGTTCAAAGCGTGGTATGCTCGTGGTTGCAGGCAATACAATTGTCTTCGTGCCCGATACAGTTGGATCTGAGCAACGGGGGTCTGTCAAGGATTCCTGACAGCGCGATAGCATTCCCGGCGATAGAAGAGCTGGTATTAAGCCAAAACCAACTTACCAACGCGAATAACAATCTACCATTACTGCACAGGTACGAAATTCGTATCTCAAATGGAAATTGATTTACTAATACTTTAATAACATTCGATGTACAATAGCAATTGTTTCTCGTTTTGTCGCATATATTGTATTAAAAAAAATAACGTCAATCAAAGTAACGGTATTGTTTAATGATAAAAAATATCTGTATTTTAAAATGTTAAATAACGTGTAACAATCTTTTAGTTAAATTTCTAAATGACGAAGTCATTTTGCAACACTCTCAGAATTGGTACACAAAATAAAAAATGTGCTTTAGCAAGTTGATAGGTTGATACTGTTATTAAGCGAAAAATTACCGCAAGAGAATCGCGTGCTCGGGTAACTCGATTGCTCATCGGAACGGTTTTACCGCGGTTAACTTGATTAAGCTTCTTTTCTAACGAAGGTTCCCGAAACTTCATATCCTCCATCTGGAGGGCAACGAGCTGAGGAAAATACCTCGGGAATTACTGGAGCTCACCGGGCTGACCTATCTCAATCTCTCGGACAACAAAATTGAGAAGATTCCGGCCGACGTAAGCCAGCTTATCAAGTATGTAAAGTCAATTTTGTCAGATTCTATTTCCCTCCTTCACTTTTGGAGAAATAAGTCCCGGGCGTGTTTCCTAAACAATTATTATTCGTTATGACGAAGCATTCGTTTCGAAAATAAATAACGAAAAATCGTAAATGGTCCGATGTTAAAATTTTGAAATATACGAAGCATACTTGTGTTTGATAACTGCTAATATTATAAAGGATAAAGGAAATATATGTAGGAGAAAAAATAATTTATACAGTTGGACGTGACACATTGATCTCTGTTCGATGTACCAGTTATTCAGTTTATCTTAATTAATACACCGTCGCGTCGCGCCTAGGTAAAAGCGTTACGAATACGAGGAGATGGGCAAATACTGCATTGAACCGTACGGTTTCGTTCGATTAATTAACAGATAACTTTCTATTATCACCGGGCGGAAATACCGATGCATTGATTTATCGACAGATCGGCAGCACGATAAACTTCCATTCGTCCCTGGGAATTAAACAACTTGCATGCATTCGTGAACCCAGTGATTTTTCATTCATCCGATAATTACGAAATTCGCAGAGTCAAATGCTTTCATGCTTCTATGTGATAGAGCGTGTTCGGCTTTGATATAGACGAATAGCCTTTTAGTAAATATTGATATAAATCGTGTGAAACCCTAAATTCTATAAGCTGAATTATGGAAATCAGACGTCGGGTACATGTTGAAGTTACGAATTCCCTACGTGATTGAAAATATTTCTTTGGAGGGGAAATTCTTCACCCGTGAGCTGGGATATCCATCAGTGCTACGGTCAGGCCATTTCGTGTCGAATCACGATTCGGGATACCTCATATTTCTTGGTTTCTTTCACAGAATGTGAGCAGAATTTATCGGTGATCTTTTAATACCAAAGGTGCGCCACTTATTGAAGTGGAATCATATAATAATAATATTTTTCCAGCTTGGAGAGACAAAAAATAATTTTAATAACATTCATGCATCTCATTTTCATATACATCTTACACCTTATCACTAGACGTCTGATTTTTATACAAAATATGACATTTACGGTATTAAATTAAAAAATGTATTTTATATAGATAAACATTTATTTTATCATTTAAACATTGAAATATGTGTTTAACGCCTGATATTCTGAATAGTTTTATACATTACACGTAGTCTACTTATCACATTTTTGACGAATAAAATTCACGTTAGATTCGTTGAAGCAAGTGCAATTGATGTATATAACTATTATTCTTGTTCTTCTAATTTAGTCTATATCTGATGTTATGTACGATTCTGATACAACAAGGACATCATTAAAATGGCAGACGATTGCATATGCAGCAAGAAGTTAGACGAACTTGTGTAGACATACTAGCGTAGTGTGTTTTACTTGCAGTAGCTCTGGCTAAAGTAGAAAGCTGAACTTGGAAATTGAAACTTCGCGGTTGAATTATGCAAAGCTAAAATAGCAAATTCCTGTGTTTAAACTGTATCAGTGTCTGGCAATTATCTATCAGGAAATTAATTGACAATGTTAAATTTAAAGAGAAACATGGAAAATTGATATAGTAAACGATTTTATTGCATTCGTTACACAAAAACGAAATATGCCCATTTCTCACCACAATAGAAACTTATTTTATTAATTGTCTCATTAATGGCATATTTATTTCATTATCGGCCTTTTTATCAGCCCTTAAGTTAGACAAAGCCGACGTAGCGCAGGCAATTAATTGATAAATCGTGCAAATCGTCTAATCTTTCGGGTAATTAAACGGGTGTGGTGATTACGTAAAGATTTCTCGAAAGGGGTTTCCAGCGACCGGAAACTGGTATGTCAGAGGCCTGTGGAAGAAGGAACTACGGTGTGAGCACGAGCCCACTAGCACAGATCCATGGGCCGTGCGTATACGCGTGGTTCGCTTCCAAAGAGAGAAAGAGAAAATTGAAAACGTACGTGTAGAAGAACAGAGCAAAGGTAAAAACCATGTGCATGTACATAAGCGAACTCCGTTGGTAGAACGGTGTTGGGCAACAGACAGAAGTCGTACATCGGGGCGCAGTGGCGCGGAAACAACCGAGGAAGAAGAACCACCGCCGCGAATTAATGCGAAACTTTCCAATAATCAGTTGGTCATGTTGAGAATCACGATTTACTTCCAGATTCGCGGAAATACAGTGCAATTCCGTAATGTAGTAACTAGAAATAGCAAAAGAATACTATATCTCTTCTCTGTAATTAAAATGTAGTAATAAATATCAACTCGTTTAACTGCTTGCTTAGAAGACGAAGAAAAGGACAAGCTGAATACAAAATGCAGAATGTGGTAGAAATAGGAATTAGTACTTGAAATTGTTACTTAGACAATTGATCAGGATATTTAAAGGATTAATAAAAAATTTTCACAAATTGTGTACACTACTACTTCTCTTGTATCTTAGAAAAATTGCGTTCTCTTGGAGACCAGCTGACGCTGGCAAATGTCCCATGATAGTAATTTCAATAAAGTATTGTGTGGCAGACTACGGAGAATATTGTCGTAGTTTAAATGAGTACAACCCGCGTAAAGAAAGTACTTTCGAAAATTGAGTCAGAATGTTTGCGGTTTGAAATTCAGCTCTCTTGGATGTATTCAATTCGCAGTGCGGATATCGTACTTGTGAAAATTGTGCGCGTGTAAGCTGTCTGCCGGCCAAAAGTTTCAAATCACATTCCGTATTTGTATCCGTACTCACGCAGAATTCTAATCAATGCGAAAATAACGTTGTAGTTATTAACAATAGTTTCGTTCGTTTAAAATTGTATTGCAATCGTCGGATGCACGTGTTCTTAATTAAGTACAATTGTACCTACTTCCCTCTTGCTGACCTTGCATTTATAATATCTCCCTTCCTCTCTTCTATAATTGTATGATCTTTTATTAAACTACTACTGTTGCGTCGGTGGATCGGATAAAGAGGGAGAATTGATGTGAGTGAATTATTCAAATTTTTCCATCATCGACGACACAATCCAGCGATTATACAAATGCCAGCACGTAATAGTCGTACAATTATGTATCGCAACGCTGGAAAATGAGGGGAGAAAGACAAACGAAAGGAAAAGAAAATGGATGAAAGGACCAACGCACAGATTGTTTCTGTAAAGGGACGGAAGTACCTGTTTAAAATATTCAACACGGTCTCTTGTAGGCAACGGTAGGATCTTAAAGTAAAATCTACGTAACAGGCCGAAGTTTCTCAACGCCGTGCGTCAGTTAGGGGAGACCTTCTCGAGAAGCGCAATTTGAAAGCTTCAGTGGAATCCCTTTTCCGTGAACAGGAGAGGTACTTTCATGGAAGAACAATAAGACTGGGCCAAACAGTGAAACCGTCCGTGCAATAATTACTTCCCGATCTGACGGTACGATCAGAAAGAGCGCACATACCTCGTTGGTCAGATGTTCTCTACACGCTGCCGTGATCACGTTTGTTGTGGGAATAACTGTTAACCCGTTAACTGGGTCGGTTTTCCAAATCAAAATCTCTCTTATGTATTAAGTAAGACTTCAGTTAACTTCCTTTCAGGACTTGCATTGAATATTGAAAACAGACAATATTTGTGTAATACGAGTATGTATGTAATGGCTCAGCCTGCTTTGACAAATAAATGCTTTTGTAATCTGTTGCGATTAAATTACTTAATTATTACATAAAATAATACATAAAGTAGTATGAAAATTTGTTGAATCAAATACTTTATGAAAGCGCATGTTCATCATTGCGCTAAATCTCAAAAACTGGGCAGCAAACATTGCGTCACGAGTAAATTGAAATTTCTTCGCAAGTTCGAAACTTCCGTGTTAACGCAACCAGGTCGTCGACATGCATGCCCTTCCTAGCAGTCTTGTTAATCAGCGCAGAGTCTGGTAGAGCAAAGCCACGTCGTTCGTTGCTGCTTTTACAATAGTCAGGATGGGGCTAAGACACTGGGAATCAGCATAGACCAACTTACACGACCGACCGCCGAAGCTAATCTCTCCTTTCTGTTACGTCAGAGTGGTCAGCCAAGCCATCCTTGGTATCCTCTTCTCCTCCCTCTTTCTTCTACAATACAAGAAGTAGCTTAGGATACACTTCGACTCGCTACAGACGTCAGTACCCCGAAGAAACCGCGCGGGCGTGCATCAGCTTTGGTAGCTTCGTACACCTGTTGTGTTCTGAATTTCTCCGATTAGTTTGTGGATTGACGTTCGTCTCAGACATGCGAAGAAACTGTTGAACTATGTTAGCTGAAAGAGCGATGCCTATGAACTAATATTAGATGGATTGCTTGGAATAATCTTGAGGCAAATTGAACAGTAAGAAGATATTAACGATATCAGCCAAGAATGTGCGACGTCTCTTGTCAATTCATGAAATATATACATATTTAAAATATAGAATAACTATGAATAACACGTTGAGCAATTGACAGGATGACGAAATAAAATGAAACACAAGGAGTTTATAAAAAATGTCGTCACTTAAAAAGACTGGTACATTATTAAATTAGTGCATACAAATTCTGTTTGTGGTTAAAATAAATGTTTGCGGTAGCAGTCTACCTAAAGGAACGCGTCTTTTCACTGTGTACAAGAAGAGATTGAGGCACTGAATTAATTGGTAGTCGTGCAAAGCACCAGCGCATAGAAGTTGTTCGGAACTGTCATTCAGCTGTACAGAATTTGTTTTATAAATGAACGTGAAATTGTAAGACTTGATAATTTAATGGTGTATAAACTGCAAAGTCAGAATAAGAAAAATCATTCACCGAAGTGTCTTCGTCTATTTGTGAATTGCACGAAAGTATAATTGAGCACCAGGGAGTGGATATTTTAATGATGCATAGCGAAAGAGTAAGGCAGTAGTAAAGAAGGTTTACTGAAGTTTATACTGTTAGGTATCTGTGTATCTCTACAAAATATTCAAAAGAATATTTATGTCCACATTTTTTAAGCATCAGGGGAACGATAAGAAATAAAGAAGCAGGTAAGGAAACTGACTGCATACACCAAAAATGAGTGAATGAAGTAATGTTTAATGCGATAAAATTGTAAAATAAGTAACGGTACAAAATTATAATATCTGAAATATTTTATTATATTATAATTGAGTTTTTACAGTTAATAATTGTAGTTGAATTTTTATAAATACAAATGCATTGTCAAAACATTAACGTTTTCGATTTTACTTTAAAAACTGAAAGTCTATCCCATGACACAGATGCTTACTGCCAGGAAGGTTTTCACCATAATTTGAAACTTTCTACTCAAGTGCACATCCTGTGGGCGGTCCGTTCGTTTAGGTTCACCGATTCGTTTGTCCGTGCAATGAGGGTGCAACGTGCATTGACATCGAATCGTTTTAACAGTTCATGCTAATTCTGCATTTATTGTGATCAAATTGGGAACCGGAAATTATGCATTGCTTGCTAATGAGAAAATAATGGGAATTGGTTGAATTGGCTATTACACTTATAAATAGATCTAGTGATATTCATATACATGTTTTTGCAAATACAGTTTGCATGTACATGATTATACATAAATGTTAATTTACAATTTTTTGGTAAAGGAACATGATTAAATAATCGTAGATCGTAGATATATTTGGAGATAAAACGAGTACGTAGTTTCTAATGCTTCGCAAGCGTTTATCGTTAAAACGTGTATCACTATTATGTATGACGAAATTCAATTAATGATCATGTAGCTTCACGGATAGAAATAATCAGTACTATGACCTTACAAATCAATTTATAACTCTAATTCAAAGTATTATGGCCCTAGTAGAATCAAAAGTAAATACAGAACATTGTTTTACAGCCTGCAAGAGCTGATTTTGGATCGTAATGGAATCAGGGAGTTGCCACCTGAGCTCGCGGAGTTGAAAAACTTGCGAAACATTTCGTTGGCTGGAAATTGCCTGACCAGTCTGCCGTCTCTGTTCAACATGCGAGCCCTCGCGTTAACGGTACGTACCAGATTGCATTTCGCGAAATAAATTATTAATGCGTTTTGTAATTCGAAATTCATGCGGAAGTACCGTTACGATGAACGGTGTAAGTCAACATGTAAGGCAAACCGTGCCGCGTTATAAAAAAATCGTACTATCTTACAAATCGGGTAATTATTCCGATTAATTAATTCCAGGAAAAAATATAGGGTCGAAAAAACACGCTCTAGAAATCTGATTTCTTTTCACGCAATACCTAGAAACTTCCTTATCTGCAAATGTTTTATTCAATCAAACGAAAATTATTTAATTGTAACATGAATGAAAAATTGAAAATTTATTGAATATTATTAGATACTGCATTCGACAGGAGAGAAACGTGATGCTTATAAATTATCGAATAAAAAACGAAACATAGTATTCAACACGCTTATATGCACTCTTCAGTCAGTTCTCACTTTCGAGCAACTCCGATTTTGCGGTAGCCACCTAGTGGCTGCATGAAACACTATACCACGCGCTAGCTATGTACTTGCGTGCATGTATGTATTATTCATGGTATGTATACACACATCCATGCATAATGCACAAAACATAATTATATAAATACATACATGTACGCACAGGCATATAATCTTATACAAAAAATTATTAAAGATATTTAAATAATTATTTAAATAATTCAATCATGTTACGTTTTTCGAGAGACAAATTTTCAATATTTTAGGATGTATTATCGAGGTCAGAGCATAGCAGAAATTGCAAAGATGAAAGAAATAATCAAAATAATTTATACAAAGTCAATTTACGGAATAATCAATTAAAGGGGAACATCATACTTGGAAATTACGGAGTAAGTGTTCTTTCGTAAAAATAAAAGTATTATTAGAAATTAGAATGTACACAGGTGTATTGAGATAATTGAATATTGATCCGTACCGTTTCTATTTCTGCTTTAATCAAGAATTTAACGCATCTAGACGTCAGTGAAAATAGCATTGAGAAATTGGACATCAGTGCGCTTCACGAATTAAGGAGCGTTCGCTGTGCACGAAATATTTTAACAGAATTGACTGTCTGCGGCAGGAATCTAGTTTCTCTTATCGCAGGAAACAACAGTGAGACTATTTTCAAATTCATCATTTAAATATTTAAACTATACTTTGTTTCACACGAATCGTTTATTGCAGAATTGAAAAAATTAACTATCGAACCAGTGCCCGTGAACCTCGAACACTTAGACGTTTCCTAGTAAGTAAAACAATGAAAAGTGTAAAGAATATAAGGAAGATATAAATTTATTCTATAAATTTATTTCACAGTAATAATTTAGATGCGCTCCCAGAATGGACGCCGGATCTGCCCTTGTTAAGAGCACTTTTCGCGTCTCATAACGCTTTAACAGCCCTCCCAGACAGACTGCTAACGCAGCCGTCGAGACTGGAAGTTCTTCACTTACCCCACAATAGATTGCAAGCCCTTCCACCACCCAGAAAACCGCTAAACATCGTTCACTTAACGTTACAAGACAACGCACTGACGGCGTTACCCACCAGTTTCTTTACCAATACAGAAAAGTATGCAAACATTTATTTCTCGAACAGACTTTATTAATTAGCCCTTTCTGACCATCCATTCATCACAAAATTTATCTCTATAAAAAATAAATTAATCATAGATAAAGAATATTTTGATTCGTTAATAATAATTTGTATCGGAAAGGGTTGAACTTATACACTAATTTAATGTATTCAGGCGAAAAAATAAAAACATGATTTTCTTAGAATGAAAGTGTTAAATCTATCCAACAATCGGCTATCAGAATTTCCACACTTTGGCGAAGGAAACAAGAACCGGCATACTAATCACAGCTTGGAGAAACTGTATCTCACGGCGAATTGCTTAACGGACACTGCATTGGACACCCTTGCAAAATTCACTTGTTTGCGGGTTCTCCATATAGCATACAACACATTGGATACGCTCCCAGAAAGGTATAATTTACCGAGCCTTCAATTTGATTTCTCCGATATTTGACATTGAATATTACAAGACTGCTTACTTACAGTTGTATATCTTCCTGGAGAGGTTTGGAAGAATTAGTGCTATCCGGAAATCGTCTTCAATACCTGCCAGACAATATGGCCAATTTACGGCATCTACGCGTATTGCGTGTCCATTCCAATAGGCTCTTAACTTGTCCGACATTTAACAAAACAGCATCGTTAAAGGTAATTTTACGGAATGCAATTTAAATTCCTAATAAATAAACGAAGGGTTTACCAACCCTGTTTTACACAGGTATTGGACCTAGCCCACAATCAGCTCGACAGAGTTAATTTAGCCACCTTGGTGCCACCACATCTTCAATTTCTCGACATATCTTGCAACTCGAGGCTGCATGTAGACCCTAGACAGTTCCAAGTGTACAGATCTCAGCGTCCAATATCACTGGTTGATGTATCGGGACAAAACAGACCCAGTTTACCTTCCCACCCTCATCAACAGGAAATCGTCTCCGCGGAGAAGAGCTCGGAACAACCATGGCGACTCGGGTTTTCGGAAACAGCAGGCTTTAGGGAAAGGTAAAATTATTTCTCATTTATATGTGTAACATGTGTTTCTAATGTAATAATTTTTTTGTAGATTATACGTCTCACAAGTGCGTATGCCGTCGTTCTGTAACATAGAAGGTCTTTTCGGTATATTTGATGGCGGTTCGAACCAGGAGGCGCCCAGCGCTCTTCAAGAAATGATACCACGCTTATTGCTAGAGGAAAGAACCGTCCGGGAGACATCGAAAGAATATTTAAAATACACTCTGCTCTCCGCGCACAGGGAACTCAAAGAGAAAGGACAAAGATACGGAATCGACGCCACTCTGGTACACATCGTGAAGATTCAGTCGCAACCGGGATATCCGAAAGCTCCGACTAAGTATTCATTAAAAGTGGCTACTTCAGGAGACGCGAAAGCGGTCCTTTGTAGGGCTGCCGGCCCTTTAATCTTGGCCCCGCCGAAAAAAGTTTCCATAAAGAATCAACTAGGTAACGCGGCTATGTTTCCCTTGGTGGTCCCTGACCCGGCGTTCGAGGAAGTGGACCTCGAGGATGATGACGAGTTCGTGATTATCGGTAATAAACGATTATGGGAGGTGTTGAGTATTCAGGAAGCAGTTCGCGAAGCCAGAGCGGAGGCCAGCCCTGTTCTGGCAGCAAAAAGGCTTCAGGATCTAGCGCAGGCGTATGGTGCGGAGGATAATTTGAGTATCATAGTGGTGCGATTGACGGGATCCAATCAGGGTGACTTGAATCAGTTAATGAGGGAGCTGAGGCATGTGGTTGGCAAGAACAGAGGTCAAACCGAAGCAGCCTGTCCTTGTCCTTGTTGCGTACCTCCAGCTAGTCATAAGCCACCAGGACCTTGCTGCTGTCACGCGAACGAGGGCTATTATTTGAATGGCGTGCTAAAGAGTATAGTGAATAGGTAAGAAAGTTTTTGGTAAATGACGTAGAAATTTGAGGAAATGTTTTGACAGATGGTTTCCAGAAGTAATTTAATAGTACAGCAGCACAATTTTGTGAACGATATAGGTCAAACAAAGCTCACAATCAGAATGGATCTGGGAAGTACTTCAAAAATCGACGATGCATGCAGGAGAACGAAAGTCCGCCGTATAAGGATGACAGGAGTTCGCCTAGTGGTCAGTCTGATCAGGCCAGCGATAGTACATTCAAATCGAGACATCCTTCCGGTAGAGTCTGGTCTGGAAGTGCAGCATCTAGAGCCACGAATAAAACTCGCCAAAGTGTTTTCGTAAACGAAAATGGCACGAGAAAGGTAGTTAAGTGCTTTTTATGATGTAATTTATTACATAACGAATAAAATATGTCATTTAACAAAATGGAACGTGTCACCTTGAAGGCATCAGCTTGTGTAACATCGCAAGAGGACACCGTATCCGAGCGATCTGGTGCATTGAGCGAGGAGCAGTTCCGTTGCTGGGAGTACATGCTGGAACAGAACACTCAACTCCTGTTCGACAAGGAATTGGACACCTTAACGAGGACCCCTCTACGCCGGGGTCAATCGAGATCCACGCCTCAATTAGGCGGTAATTTGCCATTTCTATCGAAGAGGTTCGGAAGTGCCAGATCCTTTAATCCGTCGTTACCGAGACCGCCCATCGTGCGATTCGGTAGCGGGAGAAGATTATTGAGCGGAGGTCCGAACGCGGCTTACTTCGGCAGTCTGCAGAGGTTGATGCCATATAATCTCGAATACGATTTCGCCGTCATTCAGGAAAGGAACGGATTAGACTCTTTGGAACAAGACGCGAACAGAATGCAACAGTATTGGGGAGTAGCCACGACCGAGTTATGATTGCGAAGATACTTTTCGAGCGATAACTTAACGACAAAATATCATAGTCTAATCATATATCTAATAATCGTAAATATGAATGTTTAAGTACATATGTAAGTATAGAAGTATTTTCGTGTTCCTAAATGATATCTATTCAAAAATTGTGATTGATTATGAGTATATAAAATTTATCATCATTAAAGATAGATATGCATTTTAATTTTATACTCTGTTAAAAAAGAGCAAATTTTCAATTTTTAAACTATACAAAGAGTGTACAATGATGAAAACTTTTATAACTGTAGCTATTTTTAATTTTGCTTTCGCAATTTGTGATATACGAACAGAGCTCAATATTCTTGCGAAACGAGAATGAAATGCATGATAAATCGATAACGGACCTAATGGATTGCACAAATACATATGCGAGCTACAGACCTTTAATTGAATGCAACGACGAGAGATATGTCTAAGGAATGTCTGGCTGCTTCCTTTGTTTTGCACTTCATGATTTTATGGATCGAAATACTCTTGCGTTCTCCGAGCCTTGGAAAATACAACAAGAAGAATACGCTTTCCAGAAACGTATCATAAAATTGTAAATACTTTCAAAATGCAAACAGTATTTAAAGAGAGCATGTAATATTTACTACTGTGCATTTAAAAGCTTGTAAATACATACATTGTAGGGTTACATTAAACTATGTAGATATTAATTTCCAGTTGAAATGACTGATTAGAACAATACTTGTATGAGTTAGATAACTCTAACGAAGCGACAAACAAGAGACTTGGTTTGTACGAAACATAGTATTATACATTATAGTGCTAGTTTAAGAATCTCTCAGAAATAATAATTTCGAAATTGTGTTTTTCGAATAGTTGCGAATCATCTCAATCTCGTCATTGACGAGCCTTCTGTGATTTAATTTCGTATCTATCTCTACATATGTATAAATTCACATGCGTGAATTAAAAGCAGCATTTTTAGATAATACATTATAAAGAGAACGCCTACTTTTAAGGACGATTTTAATATGTACAAATAATCCACAACTATAATAAAGAATATTTTTGTACCTAATAAAGATGTAATGACTATTGTACCTGAAGCTACCAAATAAACCGATCAAACAGTTCGGATCAGAGAACTCAATTTTTATAGCGATCGTTTTAATTATCTTGTATATTTACCGCGTATTAAAACAATAAAATAACAATCTGGTACTTCCAGACATCATCCTGTTATCGCTGTTTTCTCGTCATCTAATTTCTTAACGGTGGCCTTGATAAGCATTATCTTATTTGTCGGCCAACGTTAAACCCTCTATTTCTATCGCACCAAATTGTCTTTTCTTTTTCACGAAAGCAACGGTACACTTAGATTGAGGCATGTAAGTGCATTTGCGGCCGTCGGACTTTTCACGGAATAATTGAAGACTGAAAATTTGATTAGAACCTTACTAACATCTTCCTTTCTACTGTATTGCACAATCAATTCCCTGAGTAAAGAACTGCATGCGCGATGAAAATCTTTCCGACGTTTTATATAACTTAGCAGAGTGTACATAAATCGCTGAAGATGCTATTTATTTATTTTTCCTGGTACTTTTCTGTAGTAAATAAGTTAAGTAAGTAATAAGTTCGTAAATAATTAATATGTTTTAAAAAATGGATGCTTAGATAATTCTATTATCACGAAGTACACAATAACATCAGTAATATTGTTCAAACATCTTTATATCACGTGAATTTCAAGCATGATTTTGATTTGTTAAGATTAATTATTAATTAGATAACGTAAGATACCAATAACCATTATCGAGGTCATCAAATATACGACAACTGATTGCAATATGTACACATGATTTTAGTAGAAAAATAACTTGCTTAATGTAGCTGTTTATTAATGCACTTTGTTGCGCTCATCGCAGCACGTCACGAGCATTTATGACGTCCTGTTCATTATGGTACGTGTACATCACATACGCGTGACAGTCATAATTTATTACTATATTCTACAGTTATAACGATTAAAGTACAGATATTAATATCCATATTCATATTACGCATACCTATCACATCGTTTTGGACATCGGACCTTTCTAGTACGCTGCATATTATGAAAAAATGTGTACCATATCAATTATAATACATATGTGTTAATGGAGGCTAATTTGAAAAATACGAGAATGTCAATAAATAATGTTATGTATCTCGATATACGAGAGAAAATCATTAACAATTACGAAATCGTGTCAGGAAAAAATATTCGCATTCCACGTAAATAAAATTGTTGAACTCACACATATTATGTGACGTCTAATAATTTAGCTATGTTCATTATATTACTATACATATTTATTTGCAAATACGGTTAAATATCTATCGTAAAGAGAACATCGACAATCATAAAATAATCACATCCATGTTTACTGCTACCTGTCTATTACCGCCCCATATGGTGTAAAGTCATTAATTAGACAACAAAGTACTTCACACTCAACAATGATACATCTTTAAACTACTCCAATCTAGCATTTATCGTAGCGTATCTTAGAAAGTAAGAGATAAGTTTTTGATAAAACAAGTAAAACATATTATGTACATACTTTTCTAATTTCCATCGATAGAGATAAGAGAAATTGTATAGAATAATTTTGTAATATAATTGTTGAAAATACGATCAGATATTGGATTATATATTTTTATAATAAATATTCCAATGAATAAATTGCTTCATAACAAATACGCGTTAATTAGTTTCTCGTCGGTTCTTTAATAAATTATTTACTTAAAGAAACGCCAGCTCTAAGGAGCTCATTGTAAAAAAAGCCGGGAATTCTTTAATAGCATATCAACATATTTTCTATATATGTAGTTGTAGTGTATATATTATTTTTCCAGTTTTTACAATCTGTACACAATAACATATGTATAATTCCATACGTTCCAAAATTGAGTATAAAAAGAATAACGTGAAAAATTGGTTTGTAACATAAATGAAAAGTTCAACGTGGTTTTAAAAACAATATATATATCTGAACACAATAGGAGGATCAAAATTAACTTTGGAAAAAATTGCGCACGTGCGCCATACAACTGTCCGATGCGACCACGTCAACGTCCACGCGTATTCAATTGTTGGTATTATATATACACGCGCTTAGTGTAAATGTGAGCGCTTTGGACCGGAGTCACGTGCGTAGGTATACAAGAGGAAAAGAATAGTGGGGGGATTGTAGAGTTTGCATAACCCGATTGAAACTCGACGCCAACAGCCAGTCAGTAGTATTTCGACGGTGGTAAAGGTTGCGCTACGTTTCTGCGACCTTATCTTTCTCTCCATTTCTTTTCGCGTCATCTTCGTTGCTGGTATCCGTTTTAATTTGCATTTTTTTTTAATAATCGTGCTCGTGAAGTTTCTCTTTCGCGATGCGTCCACGCGTTGCATATTCAGCCGTGAAACCTGGTGTGTCCACTTTTTGTACCTGATTCATCTGCTATGATACCCACCAGAAGAAGAGCCTGATACGGTATACGTGATAGGATCTTTAACAGTAAGTAAAACTCAATGCATTATTAATTATTACTCTGCTATTTACTGCCGCGGTTAATGTATATTTAGCCGATATTGTTTGTCTTGTGATATATGATAAAACACGCGCGCTATTACGTCAACTTGTTTCAAGGTGTGTTCAAAAGAAATCCATTTGTCCACTTTTACGCGCCAAAAGTTAAGAGTTGATAAAACGATTTATACCGTCCGTATCGGGCATAAAACGTCAAATCGTATTTATATTATGGTGCATCGTAATTTTTTATAGAATTATTGAACCACCATATTTAAAGTATATACCTATCTGGTCGTAAAATGAAAACCGATCTGGAAAACGTGACCGTGTTCATGCTATATCAAGCATTGGCGATAAATTCTCAAATTGATCGCACTGGATGACATGTTTCCTGCTAGTACAGCGATTTTCTCGCCCATACTTTTGACTTTTTATTAGATTGTCTCCGTTCGTTATTCGGAAACCATACGACAGAGTCACGTGAATCCATTTGGACTAAATCGAAAGTCCACGGTCGATGGTCGACGTGGCTCACGATCATCGACTTACCATATATTGCTGTAAACCGTTGAAACGTATTTATGATACCACAGAACTCAAATAGAGACAAACAATCTGCGTATTCTTACTTACAAAACTTCTTTTGATGCTGAAGCATTTATCTACCTGTTTGTTCGTCGCTTGCGCTGTCCTTTTTTCGTTTTTTTTTTGGCACATTTTCCTTGAGGCTACGTCAAAATAGAATCACAATGGGATTCAAGAAATATATTTATTCAAAGAAATACGTAACACGCTTTACGTTCCTTAGTGAAGGATAAACGATTTGAGGAATCCAGATCCAACAAGGCAAGAATATTCTATAGAATCGCGTACGAAGATTCTACGAACGAGAATAGATCATGCTTGAGCGAGTAACAATATAATAATCTCGTCAGCAGTTTCTTGTCGGCGTTTAACAAATCTAGAACAACACGTGACCAGTTAATTTAATTAACTAAACGTTTCGTTGGTACATGCATGATGTAACTAGACGGATTTCGTAACGACAAAGTGAGCGAACCAATTTTTTTTACGGACTTTGAACAGTACGTATTTTTCATGGTTGTACGGAACGAATCGAGAACTCCTCACGTCGGGACTCAATAAACAGACAGCAGCTGATTGTCATAAGACAACTTTTCCTGGCTTTTACGTCAGTCCTCTCGCTATCGCGACAAACTATTCCGCGATACGTATACATACATACACAGTCAATGATTATTCCGATACTTGAAGTGTAAAATAGAATAAAATGTTTTTATTAGATAGTACATAAATACATTTTGTTGGCTATTAAATTAGATTTAATGTAGAAAGTAATATTGGACCCTAATGAATTTAAGTCAGTTAAGTACCTACAGTTAAGTACCTAACAACTGTATTCCATAAATAGATAATTGTCGCCTACACGTGTCTTCTCTGTTACGCAATTTTTAATTGTTATATAACTGTTTGCTTTATCTTTGTCGACAAGCAATCTGATATACGTCAAATTGAATTGTAAAACGTCTTTCGTATCATTCCGTTGAAAAGACTATGGAAATTGATTTGGCAACTTATTGTCTCAAGGTTGATGAACGGTATTAGCCGCAAAGTATAAGCAATAGACTATAAAGAATATCAAGGGGGATCCAACTACAAAGCGATATTGGGTTACTTTACTTGCCTGTTACAGGCAGCTTTTAAATCATTTTAAATGAATCACGCGGATAAAAATAAAAATTCCCTTATACCAGCGCGTGCTTCTTGGACCGAATTAATCCTTTGCAATTTTCAGTCATTTCGTAGCTTACAGAGAAATGATGTCCGTCACGCGAAAAGGGCATGAAATTTCATTACGTGATACGTAATAATAGATATTGTGCAAAGACGGCTACGACATTAAATATGTCGTGAAAAAGAGTTTTAAATCGAATATAGCACGTCACGCACACTTTACATATTCTAACTCTAGATATCTCTAGCATTAAAACATAGCGGACGTTCTAAGGAGAAACTACGAAGCACGTAGTGCTTTTTTACATTGAGATTTTACAGACAACTAATGCAAATATATATATTATTCCTTTTATGTAAATATATAATACAATTTTATTATAAATAATTCCAAGTCAATTTGTGGTTGCGAATTGGACATTGAATAATAAATGTGCGGGGAAGGATTTACTTTTATATTATTAGTAACAACAGATGGATTTTAATTAGTTAAGATAAAAAGAAATACAATATTGAATAATCGAAGCTATAAGTGAAATTTTACGATCAAAGCTGCAATCTATTAATTTATGTATTATTCCATTCCGTTAAATGTAATAATGATCGCACGCAATTTCAAGCCACCGCTAAATAATTGATATCAAGTGTTGGTGTTGAAGTGCTATCGCTGTGATCATAAATCATACAATCGAACGGGCACGCGGATGAAACGAGTGTTTTGCATTTTGTAACGTGAAGACAGTCGTTGTTTCTGACAAAATTTTAATCGTAATTGTATGTAACAATAGAATGCAATGAAAATAAGGATGCACATACGGTTCCCAGTACAATACGTAATACAATATTAATAGAACAATGGCACTACAATGGACGCGTGTCATAGTTTCGTTTCCTCTGTTTTTACACCTTTGTTAAGAATGCACGATCTGAGCAGATCGATAAACAGTCTAGCGTAACTTCCATGGAGGTTGATCATTATGTGTCATTATGCATTCAACTCTAAAACAACACTCCTTGTTTTCATTTATGTTCAACGTGCTATAAATTGGTTATCTTCAAGTACAAAATTGTTGGTTGCTTAAATTTCGCATAAATTTACATAGTGGTATCAGCTCAATGTATATCAGATATCAATGTATATGAATATCAGATCAAAGTGTTGTAAAATTGTATTTCTCTAGTACATTTTCCTTTCAAACATGCTTTATAACTCTTTAAAACATTCCTTACTTATTGTTAGTATTATCATTACTCTTGTAGGATCCTTCGCAACAATTTCGCAAAGTTTACAATATGATATACTCTCCGATGTGTCAGTGCTTAAAGTCCATTACGAAAGTAAAGATACCAAGTGTATTACTAACATCGATGTTTTAAAAAATTAATAATCTTCGTGTATGTCTATCAATTAAACAGAATAAACCTTTGGGTGAATGGAGATGCTACATCAGATGCTACATAATATAAATATGAGAAGAAGGAATATCGTGTCCGCGTACTTTGGTTGCTTTTAAGATCACACTAAATCGGTGTTAGCTCTTAATTATAATTTTCTTTAAACTCATAAAACGGTAACATCCAGCCAGTTGTTTTAAGGATGTATTGGCTATACAGTCAATCCCAAAAGTTTATGTACCTTAGAAAAACGCATTTCCTATAATTAAAAAGAAATCAGACGTCGGAAGAATAATGCTAATAATAAATAGTTACGTGCTAAAAAGTATAGAAGGAAATATCCAATTAAGTATTGACGCTGACGAAAAACTTCTAACTTCGATATTTAACGAGTTACGTATGATTATATGGCATTTTATTGATGTTGACAAAATCCGGCCATCCCAGCGTCGAAACGGCGAACTTTTGGCAAAAAATTTCATTTTTCCTTAATTACTCCTAAACCGTTGAATCTACGGGAAAATTGTAAAAGACCTTTCTTGTAGAGAACAATGAGATCTACAATTTCTGTACAAAATTTTTTCTCTAGCATTAATATTTAACGAGTTATTGACGAAAATCTTTCAAGTTTGTTGGGACTTAGGATTTTCACAGACCCAAGGCCGTATTTCTCCTTGGGTGGCCCATCGAGGAAATAGAGATCGGTAAATATCTCGGTGCACTTACAAGTGCGATACGCAAGAGTGTTTGCAGACAGACAGAGATTGTCTATCCAAGTAACATTTTGAACAATCTCAGTACTCATACTTTCAACTGCAGTTGAGGAGCACTGAACAAGGCATTGAGCGGTGTCCAAGTTACACGTGTTATACATATATAGTCAAATAACTGCAATTCTATTTTAGAGTGCTTATTTTTGAAAAATGGCATCTTTACAGCCAAATACGCAGCTTTATATATGAATAGCTCGTATTATTAATATCCGATATTATATTCCGTAATGTGTACAGAAAATAAACGAACAGAAATACACATCAATTAATTGCGATACTTAAATTATATTTTCGCTTTATCATTCTTTATGTTATATGAAGGTAACATGGAAACAAGTTCAATGACATAGAATATCTAATATGCAGTACTGTACGAAGTCGTAAAAGATGCAGAAGTTTGTAATATGAATGATCTATGAAAACTATTTTCATGAATATAATTTTAAAGACATTACATATTTATTTTAGTCAGTGTAACGTTATTACTAACTTACCCTAGGTTGTTTTTGTTAGTTATAACATTACACAACCTTGCATATTTATTACCTTTCTACGTCATTGAACTTGCATTGCAAAATCTTTTGTATCAATATAAAATGTACATTATCAAGTACAAGTTAAATGATAAATTCCCATTTCGATGAAGGTAAAGGTAAAACTAACTTCATTGTATAATGCTATTGTAGTTCATCATACATACATATTCAGTTTCTCTTCCGGAATGCACACAGTATTTCTAAGTAGATTTATGTTCGATGAACACTCTTTACTTCTCGGAAGAGCTTAAACGCGGCTTACGTATGTGTATATACGGGGAACGGAGTTCGCACACGATTTATCAACGTAACAAACACATATTGACCATGATAAATTGTACTTGCACTACAAAAGAAAGCAACGTAAAAACATAACTTTGCTAAGGGCATATTTTACATACCGCAAGAATAGAATAAATTCTGGTGTTAAAGAGAAGCTCTAATTATAAAAAGTGGTTCAAAGTATAAAACAAATCGCGAGGAACAAAATATTATCTAATTATTTAAATATATTATTAACTTGTTTGCTAATCAAAATGTAGAAAATATTGGGAATATAAAGAAATTAATATTGCCTTTTGGCTTTTATCCCTAATTTTATTATTAGTTTGAGGAAGGATTGATGAAGTATTTATTGAATCTTTAACTGGCTTAATGCAAATACCTCTGACAAAGGAACGATATTGATTTCTTCATTTATACCGGTACAATACTGTCTCGAATAGTGTTACGTATTTAGTTCTAATTGCAGAGTTATTAAAAAATTAGTTATGTATAAGAACATGCTACCCGCGAATCCTGTGTTCATTAAATTATGTAGCTCGCGATAAAAAGAACGTCGCACGTGTCGTTACGAGTGGCAAGTAGAATAACAAGTATATAAATAATCGCACGTGGGAGTCGTTTTAAAAATAATTCGTAAGCCCGATTTCCTCGGTTCCGTAAAATCGAAACCCTAGATAGAGAGTGCAATCGAATTATCTACTGCGCTTCTGTTAATTGAATTAAAATATTTATATCTGATGTAAGACAAGTTGCAACGTTCTAAATATTATATCGGATTTCTCTTAATAGAGTGAAATTTAAAAACCTCTAATAATTAAAAAAAAAGTATGTTAAATATGTCTAAGACGATTACTTCTCATGGTCTTTAAAAGTACATTTTAAATTATTTAAAACCGACGAATTGCGATTCGTAGAACTTGGATAATAGTTGACTCTATTTTCGAAATGACTTGATTGTTTATCTTTCACGTTTCAATAAAATCGGATCAGGTCAACGATTACTTCTCATGGTCTTTAAAAGTACATTTTAAATTATTTAAAACCGACGAATTGCGATTCGTAGAACTTGGATAATAGTTGACTCTATTTTCGAAATGACTTGATTGTTTATCTTTCACGTTTCAATAAAATCGGATCAGGTCTGCCATTGCATGAATCCTGTACGTATCCACTTTAATGTGGTGCAACTTTACATGTAATTTAAAACGTAATCCAAGAAGTGCATGATTCGGCAGAAACACGCTATGTTTACGTAAACTTGAAAAAACTACTGAACAGTATTTACGCGTTTTATTTCTCCAATTTTACTTAGCGAGATGTCTATTATTTTTGCGTATTGTTACGAGAGATACGATCGTAACGTCGACACATTATTCTACATTGAATAGGACGAGTAAGTAGTTCCCTCTTTTAATGCGTCACAACTTTTATCGCGACCCCCCTGTGATCGATGCGAATATTTTTTTAACAAGTACTTTCCTGCTGCCTACTACATATTACCCTCCTTCCAACTGATTGTGTTAACATTCTTTTATATCCATATCTGTCTATTGAGTACAATAATAGTATAAACTATATATTGGACATATGTATATCTATAAAATTGCTTTTAATTCCCTTATCCATTATAACCTTAAATTACTAGGTTGTACTTTTCAAGTCCTATCCGTGAAGTACATCATCTACTCTTATTACGTATTGATTTGTGAGCGTAATAAAACTTTATGTATCACAATAGGTAGTCATTATACAAAGTATGTTAATTCAAGCATAAGATGGTGTGCCGTAGTCAACGTGTAGCAATATAAGGAAACTGGCAAAAAGTCTACTTATTGGACGCTGTAGGTACTTAGCAATAATAAAAGGTTTTTAATGATCGTAAAAGATGCATCTTGATATCACGACTGATAGAGTTGGGCACGTGCAAAGTCAACCATATTAATGATTTGAACCTATCTAGAAATGACTAGGACATCTACTTTAAAATGCGCCTAAACCGGAAGTTACATAGTCAAAACACGTAATGTCAAAATTAATAGTTGAATATGAGTGATATTCACTGTCAATATGTCAGTGAAATAAAAATTAACAATAATAAAAAATAAAAATGTCAATAATAATATAATAATGCTACATTATTTTTTATAAATATTTATTCCACGAGTTTTGTATAATGTTCGAACCCTGACGTAAAATAACAGTATATTTAAACTTTCGTTTTATCTTTATTTCCGGTTTAGGCGTGCTTCTTCATAGCCATTTAAAAATCATCACTTACGTATCCGGTCCGTACTTGGAGGGTTCCTAAAAAGGACAACATAAATAAGTATTGAAAGTGCAGTATTATAATTTCTTCTAGACGTAGACATCGATTAGCACAAACAGTGGTAAGTCGCTATATAATTCGTAGTTCGTGTAATGAAATATGTAAATGCATACATAGTATCTAAAGCTTCTATCAAATATTGAACATGATTTTAAAGAACAATAATTTGCGGTGTACCAGCAAGAGTTTTAATAGAATAAAAGCGGTAGTTTTTAGATAGCGGCAGATTCTCTCACAGTTTTGAATTAGTGATTATACTGAGCTATGACGTCACTTCCGCGTTCACGACGTTGCCAGATCGACCATTGTTTCGTTCGCGAAAGCAAAAACTGCTGGCGGAGTGTGTCGTGCCCGTCGTGCTTATACTCGTGCTCGTACTTGTACTCGTGATTCGTCCGAATTTGTTGAAAGTTAGCTGTAGTGTATTGCAAAGAGACGAATTATGACAAAGTCGGTAAAAAGTATGGAGCGATTGCCTTGGGCATTCGTTAAATAGCACGGAGTATCGTATGGATACCAGGCGGCCAGTCAACATTCCCAAGTAAATCTCATAGAGTTTTCTCGACATAGTAGGTATTAGAAACAGTTTCAAAAGTAAATCTGCTACACTTTGTGTAAAGCTGATTCCCAAGTTCCACGATCGAAGAAATTCACGATTTTTTTTTGTCGTCCATTTGTTTCCCGTTTCCGACATAATTGCTTTGGAAGCTGTTTTCGAACTATCATTGCATACAGCAATTTCCTATGTATATATACACAACTTATATTTATATGTATACATAGCAACAAAAAAAGATATTACAGTCACCTTTGCCTCTTGTTTCTGTACGAGATGTATCTGTTAATACATCTGCACTGCGGAATAAAAATTGCAGTGGCTTTTTGAACCAGTGTTTGAATTTAATAGATTTAATTTTATGCTTAGCGTACTTATAACTTGTTGAAAAAAAGGTGGTTAAGCGTTTTATGTATATAAAATGATGTTTCATCATCGATGTAATTTTTGTGCTGTATTTTGTAATGTTACTTTATCCTCTGCTATATTTTATCAGCCCAATGTACAGTAATCAATTTTTGCAATATGCAATACTATTGATAGAATTCGGAATGCACAGCTTCTGATAATAGAGGATTCCAAAAATAAATTTTCCTCAAACTGATTCTCATGAGAATTTCCTCTACTTAATAATTATCCCTTTAATTGCTTATGTGAAGGTGTCCTAGCAAATCCAACAACGAGTCCCTTATTACAGAGAGATTATTAGCTGAGTGCATTGAACACATCTTTAAATACAGAAAATTGAAAGAGAAAGAACAGTGAGAAAAAAAAACATATAGTAATATGCAGCGGATATGGTTTATAGAGAACAAAGAGGAGAAGGAATCCAAACAACTAGAGGTGCCACGTGAGACTTGCTCCATCGAGGTGGAAGCAGAACAAACATCAGACATGAGGGGTTCTAAAAGAGACTGGATTTTTAGAGTCCAGGTAATTAGGTTTTCAGTAGAATAATTCACATTTCTGAGTTATTCTCAATTGTTTTGCATTCATGGATTCTGAATAATTTTTAAATCCTTTTGTATGTTAGGTACATAAGTTAGAAAAAAACGAAGTTTTGTACGTTGTGGGTAATTTGCCTGAACTGGGTTCTTGGAATCACAACCAAGCATTTCAATTAACGCAAGAACACGACAGCCGGGATTCTCCTGTACTTATTGATAGCAATAGTAGTGGCGAATTTTATAATGACGATGTACATGACAATGCTGGGAATTTTTTTGGTGAAGACGATGACGAGTAAGTGAACATATATATATGTGTGTATTTTTGTATTGCAATAGTGCATAATACGTAAAATTTGACTTATAAAAACTAAAGTATATCATTGTACATGTAATTATACAGATATTTATCAATTTTAGAGGTGGACAAATATTTTCGCAAAAAGTTCAACTTCCCATTGACGTTGACATAGAATTCCGGTACTTTGTTGCTGTCATCTGTCAATTGAATGGTACTAAAAACTCGGCCAAGACTCTCATCGTTCGCAGATGGGAGACTCATATGGCACCGCGCCTTATCAAGAAGAACAGTATGTAGTCAAGCATTAATTGCTTGTTTAAATATAGTACAATGTGCAGATCTCACGACTAAGTAACTAAAAATTTGTTCCAGCACCTAGTAATTTTGCTGGTGATACATTGCCAGATCCTGACAGATTCGGATATTATAATCGCTATTGCAAGATCGAACGCGGCTGGTTGACCGATGAAACTGTGATACAATTTAAGCTTTTTAATAATCCGATCAAGCTGTGGAAAAATCGACTACAGAATAAAAAAGTTCATATTAAAGTGCGTTATCGTATAATAATTATTTGTATAACATCAAAATGTTTAACAAGTTGGAAATTAAAGGATTCTTTTTTTTTAATTTAGATGACACCTGTAAATCTAGTTAGGCACAATTCCTTAGAATTGCAACAATTTGGAGGTGATTGCGTAGATGATAGTCTTTCTATGGATACCCAAGATATTATTGATCAGGCAGCTTTCAGTATTACAGAAGTTGCGGTATGTGAAACTACTTTCTTCTATCGTAGTCTCCTTATCTTATAATAGTAATATTTTTATTGTAATTTTAGGCAATGAATGATGAAGAAGCTCGTTTCAAGATACAAGAACAATTTGGCCGAGCTTACAATGAAGACGAATTTGTTATCTTCAATGTTGCGGTGCGATATCCGGAAACTATCGTAAGTAATCATATTGAAATGCTTCATCAGGGAATCATAGTAAATACACAACTCGATGAACAACCATTGGTTGGTATTTATTGCTTGCATTGCTTGTGACTCTCATAACATTGCATTATGTATGTAGGATAGATCTCCGATTTTGTTCCAAATCAACCTTTCCGTCTTTAGTATATGGACAGTTCAGCAAATGGAAACATCAAAGGCATTATCTACAAGAATATTGTCAGCTAGCTGCACAAAAAAGAAATACAAAAAGGCAAAACATGCCGTGTATTTTGATTTATTACCCTGGCACTGATGATAAAAGTACATCTTTGTTTAATCGTGAATGGCGCAAAATAACAGATAAAAAAAATAAAATTAGTAATAAGTGTAGGCATGGCAGAGCAATAAATTACGACCTAGTGGTAATTCATGAAAAAAATTAGATATGCATTGACACTAAAGATACGCATTGACCATACCATGTGAGTTTTCAGTAGACCACGAGTAGGCTGGCCACGTCTTCTCTCGCGACTTGTTCAAATTACTTGGTAAAAGATAATTAAACTTGTTCAGCAGCTATTGCCCTCCTTGGAAACCAGAAGCGAAGTCACGCGCACTGGCCTGGAACTCGAAGACAACCGTCAGCTTTGTACAAAGCAAGATCTCCGGTGCAAATGATGATGCTAACATGCAATCTGATGTGTCGATGCTAAGCATCGTCTACCACTTTACATCTGTGTCACATGACATCACACAGAGATATGATGGTTTTGATATTGTCGTTCGCCCTACCGCACCTATCCTTTGGCTATGGTCTCTCGTAAATCCGTGCATCCTTTCTGAAAACTAAGCGTCGTGTCATTGCTATCGAAATTATTATAAATACTTGTTCGTTAATGCTCAATGAAAAGTAAAATTATGCGACCTATTTGTATTAATGATGTGAGTTCGGTTTACGTGAATCGCAGCCGTCCTGAGCAACCCTAAGAAATTAGAGAATATCAACGCTGTCACACCTCATATCCATCTGTGTGCGTCGAAAATGGTGAGGCTCCCATCACTCCTATATCCTTTTAGTGTACTAATATTTTCTAGCTCTGACCAACTCTACTGTACCGTACGTGACACCGCTGCGCAGCCAATGCCAGACTAAGCTGTCAGAATCTTCTGAATCTGAATTACAAACCTTGCAGACTTGATATCGAAATTTAATAATGAATGATCAGCAGGTGTTGCGGGATACGCGTCACCAGGCAGAGTACAGCATTTCGCAATTATTGGTCTGGTTCATTGCTAGATTATGTAGGAAATAAATTATCGACCTTTGTTTTGCCATTCACTTAGTTCACTAATTTGTTGCTCTTTCTCTTGCCTACAAATTATTTCAAACTGCCAAAAATGGTCGAAAAAGAAAATGAAAAAAGTTTACAGCAAATGATGTACTCACAAGTGTTTCAAATGATATAGTTTAATTCCTACCACTCTTAGTGATCAAGGACCCGTGAATAATGTGCTATAAATTATTAGAATCTATGATTTTCTTATTTCTCAGACTAAAATAGAAATTCGAAAATAAAGTTTTTTTGAACTAAATGTCCTTGATCATTGGATTTAATTAATGTTGAAGCAAGCTCTATAATGGATGAGCAAAAGATACATGATGCAAGCACATTGGTGTTGTTAGAGATAGTAATATTTTTTCCAAGTATATTAAGTAGACTGTTTTTCCAGGCATACTTAGTGGACTACTACGTGTACAGCTCAAGGTGTTTTCCAGGAGAACCACCTAGTCATATCGGTTTCAGCTACATCTTGCCTAGCACATTACAATCTAGTGTCGGACTTTTAACAGTGCCAATTACAAGCACCAAACATAGACCAATTGGTAGGATTTTACGTCTGGTAGTTCAGTACTCATCGGTGCGAGATTGTCGATCGTCCATTATAATTTTCTTGTCTTCACCAGGGCAACTTACAGTGGAATATGTTGTAATAAAACCAATTCCGGATTATCCATGGAACATGAGTATTTCATACACGAAACATTGGGAACAACGGTGGTCTGGCCTGGACGTAGGACACAGAGGATTGGGCACATCTTTCCAAACGAAAAAGTATGTTTTAAAACAAAGTAGAAATTTAGCTGTTTTTAAACATTTATTCGAACCTTAAAAAATAATACATATTTCTGAATTTGTTCTTCACAGCTGTGCTAACGTACGTGAAAATACAATAGCTTCTTTAAAGACTGCATCGTATCATGGCGCTGATATGGTCGAGTTTGATGTTCAGCTATCTAAGGATCTTATACCCGTCATTTATCACGATTTTTTTGTATCTATTTCGTTGAAACGAAAGAAACAAATCGAAGCTATGGACATGCTGGAAATTCCTGTTAAGGATCTTACATTAGAACAGTTACATCTGTTAAAGGTAATTTCTATAAACATACATTGCGTACTTTGAAGCATAAGCTGGAAGTGTTAAATGATGTACATCATTTTCACTGATATTATATTCACAGCTTCATATTCGTATTTGTAAATTTCAACATATATTTGAAGATATTGTCTTTGTATTTTATTGTACAGTATTCACAATTCGTAATGACAAGGAAACAACAATATTCTTCTCAAAGTTAAAAAGTATAACTGTATATTAATCTTATTAATCATAAAAAACTATTAATGAAAAAATATCATGTACTTCAAACTGCATAATTTTCTATTAGGGGAATTAATAAGGTGCATCTATAGCATAATTCCTTTACCATTAATCAATAGAATGCGGCTTCTTAACGCTACGCGTATTAACACGATCGCTTTTTATGTTCTTTTTTGTATTGGAACAGAAATCAATCAGATGGTATCGTACATGGATATACAGACATGTTATCATGAATTCATAAGTATAATATACCAATTCGTCTTTGTCTTTCTTTAATATTCAACAGGATTTTTATTACCCGGAAGACTCGTTGAGTAAGGTGCTGTATTTTGTTGATAAAACTGAACAAGGGGTTGACCCACTGGTGAGCTTTCATATCGCTTGCGCCGCCTAATTTGTCGCCAAAATGTATAACCAGTTTAATCATTAAGAAAGAGAAGAATTCGATGCATGCTAGTTTAAGGTTGTCTAAAACGAACTAAAATCGATTTTTTTCAAGCACATTATAGCGTCGTGAGTAGTGTATATTATATGGTTCGATTAAAAGCTAAAAGCTTGATCTCGGTACTCAGTCTTGGTGTCAGAGTAAGTCTATAGACATCTTTTTATCAATGTAATATATCACCATACGAACTTGCGAAAATGCTTTGAAGAGCTCGAAGATCATCTGTAATAAGTGTTCACCAGTTTCATCCCCCTTTAAATTCACGTATCTGCTGTAACGCGAACTTCCTCATTAAAGAAAGTACTTTAAAGGAAGAAGGAAAAACTATCACAGCATGTAAATAATACCATGACGAACAAAATGATATTTCAAATTCACTCATATTATTTCAGAGTGTTTGTTTTTGTTTTTCTTCGAAAACTCTCTTACGTCGAACGATCATGCAATTCTTACCAATTTTATAATATGACGAAACGTTACGAAATAATGCTCTGTAAAAGAAACTTAAAGTAATTTTGTTCGTAGGTTTATCACGTGGCTGAAGGTCGAGAGAAAAATCCAAGATTCTTTGATGAAGATCTGGAAGATCATCAGCCCTTCCCTACACTTCAAACTGTGCTTCAAGAATTGGAACAACACGTCGGATGTAATATTGAAATTAAGTGGACTATGCAGTTGAAGGTAATTTTTGTTCACTTTTTTCATAATTTTATTATTATTTGATTTTAATTTGTAATTTAATTGTGTACATAGGACGGCACGTTCGAGCTTAACCATCCATTCGATCTCAACTTGTATTTAGACACGATATTGAAAGTCGTTTTGGAATACGGAGGCGATAGAAAAATTGTTTTCTCGTCGTTTAATCCAGACATTTGTGCCATGATACGTCTAAAGCAAAACAAATACCCGGTAGTATTTTTGACACAAGGTGTCACCTCGAAGTATCCGACTTACCACGACCCAAGGTGTCAAACAGTACCGATGGCTGTTAGACACGCGTTGGCAGCTGACATCTTAGGCATTAATGTTCATACCGAAGATATCCTCAGAGATCCGTCGCAAGTTAAATACGTTAAGGACGCAGGATTAATTATCTTCTGTTGGGGAGATGACAATAACGATAAAGATACGATTCAACATTTGAAGAAGCTTGGTCTACATGCAGTTATTTACGATAAGTAAGTTACGGCGTTCAAAATACGTAATAAAAGTTATTTTCATGTAAAATTGACTAAATTGTTCTATATCTACAGAATTGACGAGTACAATGCGAAAGAAGTTAAGGAAAGCATATTCCTAGTTGACGCGAGAGAAAATCAAAAGGCACTAATCGCTTTGGCTCAGTGTAACCAGAGCTGTACACCACAGCCTCAAATTACTAATACGTTAAATAAGGAAACTGTAAGTAGTGGTATTAGGTGAACATAAATACTTATTGGACATGAGTAAGCGAAAATAAACTCGATATCTATTTTAGGACTACTATATGGACATCGACAACTCGCGAAACATGATTACTGCATCATCAACCACATCCTCGCTTGCGTCTTTTGATAAGAACAATATCGGCAACGAGAATATTTATTCCATGTCGACCGTCAAATTACAAACTGGATGCGAACATCAGGAAAGTGAAGACATTAGTGAAATGACAAAAGATTTTAGTGTTTGCGCGAAATCGTTTGGTCACGCAGTAAAACCTAAAAGTATCTCAGATTTCGTTTGCGGGCAGACGACTACGGAGATCTATGGAGAGGACGAGTCTACGAAGGACTGCCTCTGATGTTTCTCCTTCAAAAACCCTTTCATGCTGTGTTTTGACCCAGAAGACGTTGTTTAGAAAAGGACCTACCACAGACAGAGAGACAAGAGAAAGTCGCAGGAAAATTTTTGTAATTCTATAATTTGCTATAATGGACATCTATAAGGGAGTTAAACAATTCAAGTTTCCCCTAAGAGTCCTAGGATCCAAGAAAAGCAGAATCGCATTAACGGCCATTACACAGAGTGTACTCATACATCGATACACAAGGAAGACGACCGATCGTCTTTTCAATGTCATTTATCATTCCTTCGTTCAGTCGGCTTAATTGTTCATTTTATATATTGTGTCTTACTTCTAACTCTATATGATGGCCTTTTTTTTTTAACGCTGATCAAAACCGATGTTAGCTGTAAAGAAAAAAGATTTCGACTCTCATATATTCTACCTGTGGCAGATAATTACGGGAGTCACGCGTTTTTAGTACAAATATCCTCAATATTTTCATTAGGTCATAAAAAGAAGTCACTCCTCTCATATTCCTTCAGTTAATTAACCATTAATTTAAATAAATACGAATTGACAGAAATATTAATAAATAGATTGTCAGGAGAATAGTTCTTTTCTTATTAACTGTCTATTCATTGTGTTGTCTACAAAATTTGAAACATAGTCAAATTCACCCATGTATGTGCATTATGTCGCACATCTGTGTGAGACAATTTCAAGTGTTAACAACCACTCGCGAGTACTTCTTAATTTACAATTAGTGTAATTCATATTCATTTATTTATGTTTTAAAATATTTTTTAATACAATAATAGCAGTTTTAAAAATATAAAAAAAGATATTCCTTTATTACAAATTGTTATTTAAAACAAAAGTTGTGAATGTGAACTTCGTATAATTAAAAAACGAAAAAAAAAGCACATTTTATTTCGTATCAAATAATAGCATTTCATGCTTAACTATATGATTATCTGAATTGATTTAGTTTATCGGTTCAATACGCTTTGCAGTCGATTGACAATTTTAAAAGTAAAAACCTAAGGAGGATTAATATCGTAATAACTGCATCAGTGATAAAATATGTAGCACGCAAATATCTTCTCACCGTTCTTGAACAGAGAAGAAAATTTGTACCACTATACCGCATTGGTAGTATGCTATACAATTAAAAAGAGTGATTGTATCAATCGTTAAAACTTTGGCAATACACAGAGTGTCTGTTAATGGTTTAGAAAAGTATACCACATGTATTATGGGATCATATTAAGTACATGGAAGTGTATCTAGATCGTGCGTTGAGAAAAGTAAGGGCGGGGTGTGTTTGCTGATCTCTCTTATGTACTGTCATAGAGGCTATGCATTACAATAAGCCAGTTGGAAACGGAAGACGCTAACCGGCTCGATATGTTTGTAATTTAACAATAAACTGATACTTCGATGGATTTTGCTAATCTGACACAACACACCGTAGATTTAACGCATTACAGACTTCAAGTGTATAATGATAAACATCACATATATTTCAGATTTCTGTGTCTGTTTTTGTCTCTCCCTATTAAGTAATAATTGAAACACCTGCAACAATTTAAGTGATCGATTTTTTATAAAATTCAATGAAATTTTAACGCAAATACATAAAGATAAAAAAGACTAATGAGATAGGATATTTTTGCATCTGCATTTGAAGATCTATTAACTCTACTACTAAAAGTACCTGACTCGGAAATAAAACAGTTAAACACAATCTATATTTAACGTGTATTATAAATCGTCTTTTTATCACGGCAAGTATTCGGCAAAAAAAGACCAACTGGAATCGAATACCCGCATCTTAATAAATAAATAAAAGAACATACATATTTACGTACATTCGTTTCATTTATTCCAAAACTTTGCTTTCAAATATTAATTCCACTTGAAAGCATTCACTACCTAGAATATTTGCTATTTTGCTATTTTTAAATACCTGAATAATTCATTCAATATTACCTTGAAGAATTAACTGAGTACTATTATACTTTCACTTATTATTTAAAACTCACATAGGAAATATGACATTATCATTATTATTAACTTTCAAATTGGAAGCTTATATATTCACGCGATGCGATTCTCTACTAATAGATAATTAATAGAATCTTTATATTTATGACGTAAATCTTGCAACTGCAGTAAAATGAAATTTCGAATATGATTAACTACAATAGGCATGCGCAGTAAGACAAATGTAAGTGAATGCTCTGTGTCTCAGCGCACTTTGTATTATCCCTTTGGATCTATTTTTTTGTAAAAGTCGATTTTTTTAACCATATAAACTATAGATAGGTAAAGATGAAATGTGAAAGTTGTTTCACTTAATATAGCACTTAATATTTTAATCGTAATTTTCTATTATACTCTTTTTATGACATATTGTTCAAGATCTAATGCATAAAATACAATCTAATCTAGTACAGAGCTTCAGAGCTCTAGCGATTATGTATATGTCAGTAACTTTTTGAACGTAAGTGCATACGTACTGAGTTTTAGTGGGCAAACGGGAAGAAAAGATTTTATATATACATGCCATTTTTTCAATCGCAGTGTCCCTGGAAACTTTCGAATATCGTGAGACCGCATTCGAAACGAGGGGAATTTAATGGTGGTCAAAAAGCCCCCACCCTGACCTCGTATGCAAAGACAGTCAAGGTGTCAACAGGCGACAACAGGCGAGGCCGAACGTAGTTTACTCGATAATTCGCGTCTGTTCATATTTGTTCATTCATTTCTCCGCTTTATCGCTCTGTGGTAGCAATATCTGTTAGCAATATCACGGTACCCGTGATATACAATTTGGCTTCGAAGTAACTAGCATACGGAGAATGCGACTGTCCAGGGTATAGCACGGTGCAGAATTTTTTTGACGTGTATGTGTGCTGTATACGTACATAATGTTTTGATTCAATTGCAGCCGAAGTTCTATCGTATCTATTATTTAGTTAAAGAACCTTCCTGGACTTCGTCCCGTCGAGAAAACGTTTCCAGTGTTTTATTATTTCCGTTGTCATCGGCATCGTTGCCTTTCGTTGTCATGTGTTACGTATCTACTAGTGAATCGTTTGTTGCAAGTTCCTATTCTTTTATTTTCTGAGCTTATAATTTCCATAAGTGTACATATTTCTTGTTCAACTCTCGCATGATCATTGTATAACGTGACTGTGACATTGCATACTTGAACGTCGTTAGCGTGATTTAAAATTGTTTTTGCAAGACAGAACTAATCATATTGATTAATTAACATTTTTTGTAAACAAGTATAACGAACACATTTGTATATACAGTACAATAATGATACGAATCTGTTTTTTCATCTAATTTTTACTTTTTGTTTTTTAAATTAGTAAACAAAATTATATTATTGTTTCTCTTTAAAAGAAAACAATAATTTGTTGAAAATGCATTCAATTTTATAAATATTAATATAATTTGAACAAGTATACGTTGTTTATGTATTTATTTCATATAGTACAAAGATTAATAGTAATTTACTAAATATTACCAAGTAATTGAAATAATAAAGAACCTGCTCTTTCAGACTTGACCCTCGATAAGGTCTTTGCCACATAATCACTCGGAGAACATTCCAATGAATGTGGATGATGAATTTTATTTTATCAACCAACAGTGAGGCGAATATACTGTAATGGGGTGGGTTTCGTCCACCACAATATGGATTATTATATGGAGTTGTTTACTGCGGGGCTTTCAGTTAGCTCCACAGTCATCTCCAAAACAAGTTCCATGTGATAAAACAAGGAAAGTTTTTACCGATTCTTGGGGAATCATTAGTGATGGACCGTTAGGTTCAAATTATACTCAAGATTCTCACTGTGAATGGCTCATAAAAGGTAAGAAATTTCATAATATATTTATTACAATTTTATTTATTTAATCCAATTGTAGTTATCTAATATGCTTGTTTTACAGCAAACAACACTGGCCAGTTTATTACTCTAAGTTTTCGTACGATGGGAACAGAGTGCAGTTATGATTATGTTTTTGTATATGATGGAGATTCATTTCGATCTCCTCTCCTAGGTAGTTTTAGTGGAAAAACTGAACCGCAGCAAGTAACATCATCTTCTGGTTATGTAAGTAAATATGAAATTCTTTAACTATGAATTGTGAATCTACGAATCATTTATATATTGTAAGAAGTGATCTGATCTGATTATCTAATGTTGTTTTCAGATGCTAATACTTCTGTACAGTGATACAAATTACGTATTGGATGGTTTTCACGCGGAATTTTCAGTAACCGATTGCCCGAATAATTGTACAAATCACGGAAAATGTATTAACAACACTTGCGTTTGCGAAAATGATTGGGGTGGAAAAGATTGCTCCAGAGAACTTTGTCCAAATAATTGTAGTTATGTTGGAGAATGTGGTCTGAAACGGTGTATCTGCCGAAACGAACATTCAGGTCAATCATGTTCATTGCACAAAACACATCCTGAGGGCAACAAGTATGTTACTTACTGCTGTGTTAATTGTAATAATTAGTGACAATCTAATCAGTAAATGCAATAAACAGGTGGCATTGGCTTTCACATTCTGAAGGTGGATTAAGACCACGTGCAGCGCATACTGCAGTTTATATGAAGGAAACTGATTCCCTTTACGTTTTTGGTGGCTATGATCTTAATTATATACTCAGTAATTTGGAAGTATATCGATTTAATACAAGTCAATGGGAAGACGAGTATGGTAACGTAATAGGTAAGCAGAAAGCGCTAACCTTATCATAATTATGAATATGCCGAATACTTAAACATTGCACGCTTAAAATAGAAGGCACGTCATCCGCGGAATATCTGGACCCCATGCTCTTCGTTACGGAATTAGAACGAATAGGTGCGGGTGCAAAAGAATTATATGGTCTCCGCACGTCCTCCCTCATTGGGAAAGTACTTTACAGTATTAAAGACAGTAATATCTTTAGTTCACGTAATCATGCGATCGTAGACGGTGGACATGGCTGGCCGGAATTTAGAAATGGAGACCACAGAGATCGCGAGAGAAAGACGATTCATGAGGCCAGGGAGAGTGAGACTAGTAAGAGTACAATTAGAATAGAAAGAAACGACGATCTTAGGAGAAAACATACTAGGCATCCTAAACCACGTTATGCACAAACCGCAAGGTACACAATATAATTAAAGAATTTTCATACATAATATATACATTATATTTATTCACACCTAATCTTATCTTGTTATCGTATTAGACATCGTCGAAATTTAGATCTCCATCAGGAACTTCATGCTTCAAATGTAAAAAATGACGCATTGAATTGGGACGAGCAAAATGTTGAAGATGCTTCCGAAGACAACGTTTATAATCAAGAATCGAAATCGATAGAAAACGAATCGACTAAACTATCTGTTGATGAATCGCCTAAACCCAGCCCGCGTTATGGTCATGCAGCTTGCAGATATGTTGGTCAGTTGCACATTCAATCGATAGAAACAAGAGTAAAAGTAATGTGACTGCAGTACGATCTATAGCTTCTTAATAAATTATAGGTGGTTTCGTTATATACGGTGGGAAGATACAAGATGGTTCTTTGTCAAATGAACTGTGGCATTACAATGTTAACACACGTTCTTGGACATTGCGAGCAAAAAATTCTCCGTTTTATCCACCACCACTGACAAGGCATACTCTTACTTTAGCAAACGACTATATTTATCTATTCGGTGGTAGTACAGTCGATGGTGAATTTTCATCAAGTGTATATAAAATTAAATTGAATTTATGTACGTATAATTAACAGAGCACACATGGTGTGCAAGTTATCTCTACTTTTTTTGCTTATACTTTATACGACGTGCTCAATGTTGAATTTACTTGTATTCTAGCCGATCCTACGGCATCTACGGAAAGATGGAAGGAAGTACATCCACGAGGGGGTAAAGAATTAGACGTGCGTGTAGTTGCACATTGTACAGTGTATCACAAAGCTACTAATTCTTTATTGGTTTACGGCGGAGTAGTAGCCAGTGTAGCCCGATTCAGTAAATTGTCAGATAGGATGTTCGTGTTCCAACTTGAAAGAAAAGTTTGGTCCGAAATTCATTATCCGAGGGCTCACTTACGGGATACTTACGTCCCAAGAGAACGGGCATTTCATACTTGTAACATCATAGGTAAGTTTCATTGTTGTGAATTGTTGAGTGAATCGATATACGATGCTTTTAAACGTTGCAAAAAATGTTCACAGGCAATTATTTGGTTGTATTCGGCGGATATTCTCATAGGCATAACAAGGAAGAAATTTGTTATGATAATCAGATGTATCTTTATCATCTGGGCTGTCACGCCTGGGTTAGCCATGACGTGCTTGGTTTAAATGACAAAGGTGAACTAGCATTTTAATTTCAATAAGAAGTAATGTACGTATACTGTCTTAATGATTATTTTGCATTTCAAAACATTTACTGTAACATGTTTAGATTCTCGTTATCCAAAGCAACAAGGAGTGTTCGCACATGCGGCAGATGTGCGGAATGGAAATACTCTGCTGTTAGTAGGTGGTTATCATGGGAATGTAAACGCTGATTTGCTTGCATACACGTTGCCACCGATGCTTGCGTCAGGAGAGGAAGACTACATAGAACCCGAGCAAATTTGTTCGAGACATAAAACTTTTATGGAATGTTCGGCCAACCCAGAGTGTGGTTGGTGTTCGGCAGACGAGGTATCTTTTTAATATACAGATTAGGAGTGATATATTTTTCCACGTAAACTTTTAAGGTCTCCTGCTCAATTTTTGATATTTTACAGATATGTTATGGTCGAACTACTGGCAGTAACTGTACGACAAATCTTCAAACAACGCGTTGTCCAGGCGTTTGCCTAGCACTTGGAGATTGTCATTCTTGTTTGATTCACGGCCAGCCTGGCGGTGGTTGGGGTACAACCGCTCGTGGAAAAAAATCTGTGTCCAATAAGTTGAATCTCGGAACTTGTACTTGGTGCGTTCAAAATGCTCGTTGTCATCACAAAGATGATAATTTCGGTGTTTGTGGGCTTCGAGATGACACGCCGTCTCAAATACCAGGATGGTGGGGTTCAAAGGGCACAGAGATAATAAAAGTTGAGGAGTGTCGGGAAATGGATAAAAGGCCAGGCTTGACATTTTTAAAATACAAGCCACCTGTAAATTTTACTCAGCCCGATTCCGTGGCAATAGTCAATGCTACCACGGTAGATTTCAATGTTCCCTCTATGCAAGGAGCGAAAACAGAATCAGCTCTTGGCGGAGAGATGATCGCGAGATTGACCGGTTTCCTCAGACCACCTCAATATTTTTGGGACAGCGCATTGGAACATTTGAAGATTTGCGTCAGTTACAACAGTGCGACTCTACACGTATCGAGAAGTGATGACCCTCAAACATTGGTAATTATATATATATATTTCAGTTTCCAATTAAATCGAAAATTATTTATTTTTCTATGTTATAATTCTGAATGAATTATGTTATAGGAGCTGGTTGCGAACTTAACTGCCGAGACTTCGCAATGTATTCCTACAAAGTGGTCAGATGCACAACCGATGATGTTGCAACCAGGCAGATACCTACTAGATTTCGAATCGAAGAGGATGGTTACCACGAGTTATGCGTACGCCAGCAAAATGGAGATTACTCACAACAAAAAAACTGAAAATCCAAAAGTATTCACGTTCGAGTATTTAGAACCATACCAAAATGGATCGTGTCATCAATATAGAAATTGTCTTCACTGTTTGACCGATTCGTCCTGCGGTTGGTGCGATATTCTGAACAAGTGTCTATCACGTTCGATCAACGAGACAGAAAGTTGCGTAGCTGACATGGAATGGGACGAAGATGGCAACGCTATACAGGAATGGCATTATCTAACAATCACTCCTTCGGCCTGTGCTAATTGTTCTAATTATATATCGTGCGAATCTTGCGTCGGGACTAATCTGTGCGAATGGTGGACGGAGGAAGCCCGTTGCGCGAGGATAGGCAGGTTGCCTAATGCGGTTGTCAGCCTTGACGAGTGCCCGATTCCGTGTAGGCTACGTTCAAATTGCACTCAATGCTTAGACGAGCGCGGGCGATGCGTGTGGTGCGAGGCCACGCAGGAATGTTTCTCCTTTTCCGTGTACACCTCTGAATACCAGTTCGGTTTATGTCGAGAATGGATGGACCAAGCTGGTCTTATGGGCGTGACGTCAAGATCCGGGTCGTCTTTAACTGGCAACGATCAATGTAAAAGTTGTAGTCGGCATACAAACTGTTCCAATTGCCTACATTCCTTAAGTTGCGGATGGTGTTACAGTCTGGAAAATCCTATTATGGGAGCGTGCGTGCAAGGAGATTTCAATCAGCCGCATGTTAATTGCACTTCGGTTATCAACGAATCCCAAAATTTTACGAACAAATCTTTAACATCTAACGAATTGGGATGGGCGTACGCTCAATGTCCAGATGTTGATGAATGCGATTTAGGTTTACATGATTGCCATCCCAATGCTGTGTGCACGAATACTCACGGAAGTTTCAGCTGCCAATGTAAAAGGGGTTTCAATGGAGACGGTAGAGAGAATTGCACGAAGACTTGCTACGAGAAGTGCGTGAACGGTTACTGCAGCGAGGCGCCTGACTATAAGTGCGAATGTTACTTAGGATGGACGGGACCTGATTGTAGAACGAATTGCGGTTGCTACAATCATTCTACTTGCACCCAAAGGCCAGGCATCTGTGATGAATGTCAGAATTGGACTACCGGTAAATATTGCGAGGAGTGTAAAGCGGGTAGTTACGGTAACGCTACAACGCCGTCTGGATGTACAAAGTGCAATTGCAATGAACACGGGGACAAGGATCTAGGTGTTTGCAACCGAGAGACTGGCATTTGCTTCTGTCGTGATAATACTCAGGGAGACAGGTGTCAACGTTGCCAGAAGGGATATTACGGTGATCCAAAATACGGCGGAATGTGCTACTACGGTTGCATGTCCCGTGGTATGCTTAGCGGAGAAGGAAATGGCAAACAAGGTCTCGGCAGCAAACATTCGCAGTTATCGTTATGGGAAAATCATCTCGGAGATTCCCCAACAAGAGAATGTCTATGGATAGTTAGCCCAAAAACAGATCTTTCTTCGGACAATATGCTTCTAGGTACGCAAAGCGTGATACAGTTCACGATACATGATGATATCAATGTCAGCTGCCAAGAAAATAGCGTTTATGTGTACGATGGCCTACCGGAATTCGTTTCATCATCGACAAGCCATCAAAGTCAACTCTTAGGTGCTTACTGTACAGAAAGCACGGACTATCCAGTCACTGTAGAAGCCAAATCTGGATTTCTGACTGTTCATTATAAACAACTGGACGAGGTAGAGGGTTTCAAAGGCAGTTATTTGATAATGACGTGTAACAATTGTCCTGCGAATCGGGAATGTCGTAATGGCAATTGTTTATGCAAAATTGGCTTCGTAGGGATCAACTGTGACATTGAAATATGTCCTAACAATTGCACTTCTGTTAAGAAGCAAGGAATTTGTGACAAGGGTTACGGACGTTGCGTGTGTGCAGCCGGTTATGGAGGACGCGACTGCTCGATTAAAATCAGCGAGAATCAGTTGATTTTTACTGAATTATTCAACTCTGAGTATTTAGCTGATCATTTGGATCACCTAAGGAAAACTTTACCCCGATTCGGTCATACCTTGGTTGCCGACAGAAGAGGTAGCCTCTGGATGTTCGGAGGATACTCCCTTAGCCATGGTCCTTTAAATGACATTAGACTCTTTGACACAAAAAATAACACGTGGATGCCTATCACTGTAGAGTCTACTTCAGAGGCTTCCATGCCGCAAGGAAGATATTTCCATGCAACCGAAATAGTTCACAGTAGACAACAGATATACGTTTACGGCGGTTTGTCAATGAAAGAGGAGGATGTACGAGGTTTATCGAATAACACGTTGAGCGACTTTTGGAAGTTCAGTTTACAAAATCAGAGATGGATGCAAATTACGCAGGATGAGCTTAAGAGGGAACCACCGCCTTTAGCTGGGCACACATTAACTTTACGGAGAAATGGAGAATTGGAGAGTTTAATATTAATTGGAGGATTCAGTCCTAAATACGGTTATCTTGACACGGTATGGGAATTCAATCTAGAAACAGAAGCTTGGGATACAATAGATACTATTGGAAATGGTCCATTAGGAGTGTATGGCCACTCAACCGTATATCACAGCAAGTCGGATAGCTTTTACATTTTTGGTGGATATACTTACGCAATCAATCGTACGTTTATATCAAATAAATTGTATGCGTTGAATTACAAAACCCGTGCATGGTCCGTACTTCCACCGTTTGATGACGACCTTACTGATGGGAGTAGCCTGGTAATGAAACATTTCTTCAATCACATCTCGTCTAACGAAAGGTTCAGGGAATCATTTTTATAATTTAATTACAGCCTCAAGCTAGATTCCTCCATTCTGCAGTTACTACTGATGAATACATGGTAATATTCGGTGGCCGTCAAAATCCACATAATACTTCTGATTCATTGATCGCTTATAAATATTCATGTAACCTGTGGATTCGTTTGATAACGAAAGACATGGAAGTTATCGGCAGTCCGCCACCGCCTGCATATGCTCATGCTATGACGCACGCTGATCCAGAGTCCAACGCTGTATACGTAGTTGGCGGTTTCGATGGTGGTGTCAAAAGTCACGTTACTCTTATTAGCATACCAGAGGATCTTTGTAATCTGTGGATTGATAAAACGACTTGCCGAAAATACTTCGGATGTTCTTTTTGTTCTGTGGTAACCATTAGCGGAAACAACGCTTCCTTTTGCTTTTCCAACGAAGTGTCAAATAATAAAGACGACCGGTAAGTTTTCGTATTCGAATTAAATGCTTTCATAAAAGCAAATGTGCATTTCAGATGCGATGTCAATGTTGCTCAAGCTCAGCGATCGAATGGAATCTTTTGTAATTCGGAGTGGATGGCTAGTAGAAAGTGTCAGAACTTTAAAACTTGCACGGAATGTCTGGCGGAGTGGCCATATTATAGAAACGAGGAACCAGTGTGTAAATGGTGCACCAATTGTCCAAGCGGGAAGTGTATTCCGTCCGAGAAGGATTGCGATGAACTGAACAAATGCAGCGTTAGGCAAATATCGGTGACTGATGTGAATCAATGCGGTGAACGGCAATGTCCAGCAAGCGACTGTGAAAAATGTAATAGTCTCGAAGGTTGCGTGTGGACGAGGCAGGTTCTAAAAACTTGTGAGTTTCAGAAAAGCATGTGACATACAATGATATTGACGATGATTCTTAACGATTTTTCGAACCATAATTGTAGCTGAATTAGGACTCGCAGTAACTGGCGAACCCGTGTACGATTGGAATTGCGTGCCCGATGATATTTTTGAAAGATCAAGTATTAAAATGAGCAGCACGCAGTGTGAAAAACGATGTGCCGATCATAAAGATTGTAGGAGTTGTCTGAAGGGTACGGGAGCTGAAGGTGGATGGCGAGAATGCAGATGGTCCACGCAACTTAACGAAGTGAGTATATTTACATAATGTTCAAATAATTAAATGAAATGGTCGAAATGTTGCAATATATTGACAAATTTTAGTGTATTTCTCCATCGTACCAACCTTTGTATTGTGCCGGGGGTGTATGCGGTTTAGTGTTACGAAGTTCGGATATGGATCATTGCCCTGAACCGTGCTCAGTTTTTAAGCAATGCAGCACGTGTTTGAAACACTCACATTGTGGGTGGTGTTCTTTAGATTCAGCTAATATAACCGGTCAAGGAATATGCACGGAAGGCTCTCTAGAAGCGCCAGCAGATCACCCAGCTGGTGGTACATGTGAAATGTTATACTATCAACAGTTCCCTCAATCTGATCCACGTAAGCAATTGCACAAGATGCGCTACATAAATGAGATATAAACATTTTTGTAAAAGTTTAATAAGAAGGTCTTCAATGACCATTTAAACGATTACAGCACTTATTATTATGTTATTTCCAAATTATTTAGAGTCCTCAGAAATTTCGGACAATGTTACGATGCTAATTCCGAACGTGATGTCAAAACCGATATTTTCTTGGCATTATGTACGATGCCCACCGGAGAATGAATGCACCAACGGACACCATACGTGCTCACCGAAAAGTGAGAAATGTTTCGACTTGGAAGAAGGATTTGAATGCATGTGCGGAGATGGATATAAAACTGAAACGTAATATTAGCTTTTTGTTGTTTTTAATTTAATTCATTAAATGTGAGATTTATTAATTAGTTTATATTTCTTCCAGACCATCATCGTATAATGAATTTGGAAGGTAAAATTTTGAATTTGTATATATTACATATTGTGTATTATACGTTACGTATATATTATAAATGTACTTTGTTTTATTTGCAGGAAAATTTGCGTTCCAATGTGTACGCAAGGTTGTGTCAGAGGAACATGTGTGGAACCAAATGTATGTCGCTGCGATTTCGGTTACGTAGGCGCCAACTGTTCCATTCAGTGCCAGTGTAACGGTCACAGCAATTGTGCTGGCCCAGACAAATTAGATGTTTGCTTAGAGTGCCATAATAACACGATGGGACCACAGTGTGACAAATGCCGGCCCTTATTCGTTGGAAATCCAGCTGACAATGGGCAATGCGTACCGTGTCTCGAATATTGTAATGGGCATACTCGAATATGCATTAATGAAAGCATGACTGTACCGGTAATTTATTATTTGCATACGAAATACACGAACCGTTTAAGTAAAGTGGGTAAGGACGAATGTAATTCTTTTTGTACAGGATCCGAAATCGATCGAAGAGATGCCGATAGAGAAGCTACAGAGACAACTAGTTGAAGGCCCCGTGGCCAAAGCGAAATGCGTAAATTGTGGAAACAATACAAAAGGTGACAAATGTGGCGAATGTATGACCGGTTACTTTAGAGGAACGGAAGATCTTCGTGACGTGTGTCGACCGTTAGTATCATTACAAAAATGTCTTCATACGTAATCGCAGACTCGTCTTAAAAATGTATTTCTTTTAGATGTGAATGCCATGGACATGGATTCACTTGTGATCCTGTAACGGGAGAAAAATGCAATTGTGGTAACAATACAGAAAGTGATCAATCTTGTACCAGCGGGCCTATGAAAGGTACAGGTGGAAAACCCTGCTGGATGGTACAGTGCAGCAAGTGCAAGGAAAATTACGCCGGTACACCAACAGGTGGTCATCAGTGTTACAAGACCGTAACGGTCGACAACAAAATGTGTTTTGACTCTAAATTAATAGGTGATTTATATAATAGTTATTTTAACTGTACTAAAGTGATACGTTTCGTTACATTATTTTACGTTTATTACATTTGACTATTGCAGATGAATGTAAAATGAAACCGAAACCATTAAATCCCGGTCAAACGGTGTTTTACATGGTACAACCTCGTTTCATGAATGTCGACATCAGAGTTATGGTAGATGTAACTCAAGGTGCTTTGGATCTGTTCCTTAGTCCACGAGACGATTCTTTCGTTGTTACATTAAATTCATCAACTGGGTATCAAGATGTACATATCTCCATTATCTACAATTTATTTGTATATATCCTTTAGCATCCTAATTTATAATTGTAAATTTAGGTCGAATTGGATAACAGAATTATATTGCGTAAAGGGTACAACCCGTGGTTCGACGAGGATAATCAGAGCCACATGAGATATGTCGAATTCCGTCCAAATAAGACGGTCTCGTTCGGATTGAATGGAACTACCGCGGAGCCAAGTTGGAAATCTACCGGCTTCACGTATATCGTGATGGAGCGATATGCAGATGAGTTATCCACATTCTTAACGATTCAAAACCGGAACACATTCTTGGTTGTTAGAAACTTGACAAATCGTTTGGTGTTAACGTTACCGCAAGACAAACATGAACTACAGCAGACGAAGTTTCATATCGCGTTGAGGGCAATCGATCCCGTACATCCAGAGATCAGCAGGCGGGCCGCTTATGGGATGATATTCTTCAGACAGGATCAGCTTCACATAGACCTGTTCGTTTTCTTCTCCGTGTTCTTCTCCTGTTTCTTCTTGTTTTTAGCCGGTTGCGTGGTCGCATGGAAAACAAAACAAGCGGCGGACGTACGAAGAGCACGGAGAAGACACGTTGTTGAAATGTTGCACATGGCCAAGAGGCCGTTCGCGTCTGCTACTATCATTTATGATCGGGACGGAAACGATTGCAGCCCGAACTCACCCCAACGAAAGAGCAGACGCAACAAATTGGTGAGTTTCCATAATGATGTTAGACCAGTGGCAGTTGAACCTACTGAGGACGGTGTCGCAGCCGTAGCCACAGTTTTTATTAGATTGCCCGGTGGTCGACAAGCTCCTGTTAAATTGGCTCTCGGCAGTTCATTAATACTATTGACCAGAGTTTATCCGTTCAACAGTAGAGTGTTCGTAAGACGTAGAAACAGTCACGCGTTGAACTGAGTTTTTTCCTGTGGAAACTTCTCTCAGCTGAGCGTTTTTTATCATTAACATTAGAACTACCAACTGTTTCTTATTTCTTAAATAGAA